ACACAAGTATAACACGCAACGTGGGCTTAGAAAAAAAGGGTTCAGATTATGTCATGAGTTTCTAATTAGGCTAAAATATATGAGTTCTACAGGTTTTGCTTAGTGGAAAGCTTAGGACAAAAGAGGGCCTTATGAAGGTTTCACAAATGTGGTAGAATTGGATGATATGAGGTCACATTGAAGTAGAAGTGGGGCTAGGGTCATGAGGAAGGGTATCATTGAGTTAGGACATAGTTTATAATTGGTTTAAAAGTTTCCAAAGGGGTTAAAGATTACTGGAATTTAGTAGGTTTAGCAAGGTAGGATGAAATCTATGGTTTAAAGTTTGTAGGCTACAAAAGGGCAGATACATGGTCAAGGGATCCATAGCTGTTGGAAGACTAAGCAAGAGTTGGAGGGAGGATTTGTTGGTAACAAAAAGCTCCCTAGTTTTAGAGCGTCATAGGATTATTCTTACAACAAATACATAAATACTATGGAAATTTAAAAAAAAAAAATCATCATCATCATCATTAGGGCCTTATGCCAACTATCTGGGGTCGGCTAAAAAATAAAATATAATAAAAAATTAAACATGCACATATTATTTATAAATACTTGGAAACACAATAAACATAATAAGAACGTAATTATTTTATTGTCTCAAGTAAATTTTAAAACTCACATTTATTTACTCAAAGTCTTATCATTTAAAAGTCCTACATGTAGTATACCAATTTTATTTGTAATTAATATATTGTAAATTTTACTAAAACATATCAATAGATTTTAGTCAAAATAAGCTCTACCCTTTTTACCCCTAGCCCTTCATTATTAAATAAACTAGAAAACTAAAGCATAGATAGGAGAAAATATAGCAAGATATAAAGGAGATGATTTTTTTTTCAAAGCAATGTAACAAATGCAGTTCCATAATGCATTATGAGGCCGCATCGAAGCAGACACCGATGGGCATATGCATACATCCACATTTGCAGGCACATCACAAAATGAGTTATGCGCCCAAGGAACAAAAAGTTTTGACTTATCTACTTGTGAAGCACCTTCGGTCTTTGCATGATATGTCGTGACTATTTGGCATTTTAGTTATATGCTACAGCTTACAGCGTAATAGTACTAGGTATTCTAATATATTTTCTAAGTTCTTGGTTGATCATTTGATACTATTTTCTTGGGTTGTGGCCTAATTGACTCGGCCATTGATAACAATGTACTCATGTTTCTTCTTTAACCCAGCATGTCACTATCAAACAGACCAGGGCAAGAACTCTCAAAAGTTCTACGCTGGAAGACTAGAGTGAGATAAGGACACCAAAATTTAAGCCTTGCAAGAGATGAACTTTTCTTGAAAACATCAACAAGTGATGATCTCTAGCATATTGTAGTTGGAAAAAGCTATGCACTTTGTATTTTTTAGCTTGCTTTATGTATGGATGCATGAGGTGTGAATTTGGGCCAAAGCTCGCAAGAAGTTACACATGGCTAGACCCATGTTAGCTTTTAAATTCCCAGAAGTCAAAACCT